TCGAACTAGTTGAAACCAGAAATAACGCAACTACTTTCGAACTTCAAACACAAATTTGATTATCGTTATTATGTGTTAGTTTATGTTGTTTAAAAGATTGAATTGTGTATGACAATAATATTTCACTCTATAAACAATATTTCACTAAAATATGTGATTCAAAGGCAACCCAAATTGTAAAAAGCAATATCAAGTTCCGCGTATAAACACTGTTGTAAAGAGGCGGCGGAGCGGAATTTTAGCCAAAAACGGCTAGTAAGGCGTCATATGACACAGGTTTGTGCTGGGACAGCGCTTCCGGTGACGACACAACGCGTCGATTGGGACTCAATTCCCGCGCGTGCGCAGATGACGACCCTCCCGCTTTAAAACAGTTCGGGCATTCTATCTACTGGATATAAATAAGGCAAATTATTGAAATTGTCCCCCTTTTTATTTTTTTTGAATGTAGTTCCTGGCACACTTTCATTATTTCGAGCCCCCCCCCCCCCAAATGCAGCTCTTACTACCTTCCATGATTTACACATTCCAACATTATGAGGATATCTGTTTCCTGTACTTCACAGAGACCAAGCAACGGAGTTTGAACTGTTTTTGAGTGATATTATTGTGAGGAAAGCCACCACTGGCGCCCAGCTGATGTACTTTAGAGAAATGCAAAATGTACAACGCAAGATGGCGTGTGAGGGCGCTGTTTGTTAACGAATAGGGCCAAAACAGACAACCAATGACAGCTGGTATTTGTGGAAGCTCGCCTGGACACTGACTCCAGTGTATTTTTTTTTTCATTTTTATTATATTTTTCATTATTATTACATATATCTTGTTTTGTGTTATTTTTCAACTATCGTCACATGTGGGCTTTCATCGAAACTTTAAAGAACTACTGGTAAATAATAAAATAAAACATGTGAACAAATTTGAAAGAAATGAAAAAAATTGCTTACACCCAAAATTATAATTTATTGTCAAAGTTTGACACTGAGGGCACTTCTCCAAAATTATGATGTGGTGGCACCACTGAACATTATTAGAACTGAACTCATTTAAACAACGTTACTCATAAGTTTTGAGTTCAAGACATAAATATGTCTTCTCGCCAAAGTTGACATGAAGTCGCCATTTTATTTACCAAAATCAAAGAAAGCTTAGAAAGAACTCCCATGTGCTGAGAGTATTGGAGACACATTAAATATAATTCGAAATTACTTAGCTGAAAACTAATTATGCAAATCAGAAAATTAATATGACCAGATTTGAGTGTAAAACTAATGAGGTCTGCGCAATGTAACAGAAAATCTATGTCTCCAAGTTTAATTGAAATGTGATTAGAACCAAAAAATTATGAATTATTATGCTTATTAGGGAATTAATATGAACAGATTTTTACCCCAAACTAATTAGGTTTGTACATTGTCCTAGAGCATCTTTGTACTAAGTTTCATTGAAATGGAATAATTAGTACCGTGAAAACTCCAAAATTTCGACCCCTCTAAAGATTCGATCGCCTATT